CTCAAAACAGCGGGAACGTGATCTAAGATTCGTTCTCATGAAATTAGTTAGTTTTTCACATGTGTTTTTAGGACTTGAATAACTTACGGATGAAACATGCTTGCTAACATGATCCGTTCATTTGTTGTCAATTTTGGACGACCAAACTTCAAGGATATTGGGTAGTTATCTTGGTTTTTTATGACTTCCATTGCCTCTCTTCCGTCGGGCAAGCGTTTCCCTGTTACAGGTTCACCGTTTATTGCCAGCAAAGCATGGCCAACTAACAGAAAAGAGTATTTCATTAGCAGTGGTTTAAAAAAAGCGAGACAAGGTGAAGGAAAAAATCATTACCTTTTATGCCATCTCTTTCACCAAATATTACGACCAACTTATCATCTTCGCGAAGCATTATATCTAAAGGGTAGCTAAATGTCTTTTCCACCTCGCTTTTGGGTGTAAAATGATCGTAATGATAAATAAGTCCTCCTGCTCGATTTAGAATGTATACACTAAAGATCGCCATCTTGAATGACGAGTGAAGGCCTGGCGACAGTTTGAGCCTAAAATGGCGTCAGACTTCTTCCAAGCTGTGAAACCTTTCTTGTGTCATTGTGCTTTTTCTAGGAAATAGACCGACTGCTAGGGTGCTGCCTTTGATAAAACATGTGGAAGCCAGAAGAGTCTGCTTCCAGTAGCGACGAAAGCTTTGAGGAAGAAGTTTCCGTGAGGAATTCAGGAAACTTTGAGGCAGGCGCTGGTGCATGTAAACTCAAGTCGGTGTTTGAAAATATTTTTGCCGATATTCAAGCCAGTATTCCCACCTTAGAATTGGAAAATTCCTCGGAGGTAAATTAGAAGTAAATAAAATAGCTCTTGGTCTTAGAAAATTAAAGAAAAAATTCCAGGTCTTGATATGTGAGGTGAAACAAAAAATTTGAAAAAAATTATCGTTCGTTGCTTAGGCAACATTAAACAAGCTTACCAGCGGCAAAATAGTAGAGACAGAAGCGTACTTTTTTACGGTTAGGGCATCGAAAATGTCAATGATTCCATAGACTATCAGGATTTTTTGTTGGTAATAAG